TCAAATTCATGTTATTTTCAACAGTAACTTTAATTACATACTTTACCTTGTCATCTACTACGTATAAAGGTCACGTTGAGATTTACATAGCTATTGGACGGAGTGTCTCGTAATATTCGAAATTTAGTTTCATTTGTACACATATGCATATAATTTAACTTAATATGCACTACGTATATGATTGTTCGAAAATCGTTTCACAATATTAATAAAAATTCGAATTCACTGACTCACTGTATGTGTGTGTGATACATGCATACTTAATATTTAAAATGTAATTTATCACATATAAAATAAATTCGATCTCACTTTATCATGCTAATTAATATTTTCTGAAATTATAAGCGTACGTATGTGAATTTTGAACTTACCTTACAATATTACTACCTAATACTCCCTCCGTCCCAGAATTAACTTCGGTTTTGACTGGGCACGGAGATTAAGAAAGTGGGAAATGTGTGGTGGAGAGTTGTGCAGAGGAGAGAGAAATGTGTAAGAATGGTTGTGAACCACAAATCCTTTGTTAAAAAGGGAAAGAGGAGATAAATTTGGGACGGACCAAAAAGGAAAGAATGAAGATAATTATGGGACAGAGGGAGTATGATTTAGGGAAAAAGACATGTATAAGACTAAAACATAGAGATGGTATGTAGATAGGACCTAGAACTTTTAAATACCTAAATAGGACTAATTTGCCACCAAAGAGACAAAATTAAAATAGGACTAATTTGCCACCAAAGAGACAAAATTACCCCGTTCCAATTAAACAAGTCCGTCCTTGTTGCAAGCCCTAGCGGATCGCAACCCACCGCCAACACTCAAGCTCACTGGCAGCAAGACGCGACATTATCACTCTCTGGACAACCGGCCACTCCCTCGCCAATACGTGGTGGTATTTGACTCGTTGGGGGATGCTGCCGTCGAGCAGTGGGTAGAGGTGGGAGGTGGAGCAAGTACGCTTGCGGCGGACATCGTGGCGGCGGAGGGAAGGAAGAGGAGAGAGAGGCATAAGAGGTTCGCGTGTTGGGTGGGCAGAGCTAAGGTAGCTAAATCTTCTGCAGGCAGATTTGTAGAGCAACCGCGGTGCTTCAGGTAGCTTTCACAGCATATTGGATGGGCGGTCTTCGTTAACTAACGCATCCATGCTTGTAAAGGCTTATGCTCATCCCATCCTTTCCTAGAGTTGCTGACAGCCATGTTCGATTGGCACTAATTCGGATTGCAGCTGAATTCAACTTGTACAGTTAGTTACTTGGTCAGTTATGAACTAAAGCTTTATAGCTACTATTGAAAATCATGATACCTGCGTATGGCTTTTTACAACTTTTGCTAGCTTTTAGAAATTTGACTCTTCAAATTCACTCGAAAAAAGTGGTGAAATAATGGAAATATCAATAAATGTCACTCTATAACATTATCGTCATACATCATAATCAATGTCACAATAAATAATGTTACAATGTTATGACCATTATCAAAATGTAGTGAAAAATGTCACAATGTCCAAATATGATTCAATGTCAAATAATAACAATGTCAATTTGATAAAAATGACATTGTAATAATAACAATATCAATATCGATGTTAATGCCAATGTTATAAAAATGACATTGCTAAAAACAATGTCAATGACATTGTTAAAAATGTCGAAAAATTCTAAAAATGTCAAATAATAACAATAACAGTGTCATTGCTACAAAAAATGACATTGTTAAAATGACAATGTCAATGCTGAAGTCAAATGTTGTGACATTGAAATGCTACATTGAAATATTAACATTGTGACACTGTCAAGAATTGACATTGTTTTCGTTAATGACTTGAGATAATGTGACATTTTTCATGCCATTGTAAAAATTGACAATGTCAAAAAATTATAACAATGGCAAATAATAACAATGACAGTGTCATTGCTAGAAAAATGACATTGTAAAAATGACAATGCTAAATCAAATGTTGTCGTGTCAATGTCAATCCTATAAAAATGACATTATTAAAAACAATGACAATGATGTAAATATAACATTGTTTTTATAGAAAAATACATTTTTGACAATGATTTATAATGTCGTTATATGATAGTGTAACAATGTCATTGTTTAAAAATTAATATAATTTCTCAAAAAACAAGTCAGAAAATAAATAATAAAAACTTGAGAATGTTAACGTAATTTATTAACATTATGTATTTTCTTCAAACAATTGTTCAAACTTGATAATGTCATGACATTGTTAATGAAATTAAAATCAAACAATTGTAACCAACTACATTCACATTGTAAATTGTATTGGTATATTAAAAATATTGTCAATAATATAAAAAATGCCACAATATTAAGATTATTTATCAACAATGTAACATTTAACAATGTAATATATTGTCATTATTAACTATGTAATATATTGACAATATCATTATAAAAGAAACCCATATTCCCTCATACTACAAAACACATTAGTGCATTCCTAATCTTTTTCTTATGTTACACCACCGTACTTCGGCCAATAAATTGCCGCAAACTTAGAAACCAAAATAGAAAGAAAAAGAAATATCCGGCCATGCCACTGGAAATTAGATCAAGATCTGCAATTTTGAATCTGCAAAAATCGAAGAAACACCGCAGATCTAAAAATAGAATCCGCAAAATTGGAGCAGCACAGCAGATCTCCAGCGCGCATTAAAATTCTGAATCTGCAAAAAATTGAAGCCGCGGACATCACTAGACCTATCCTTACTCCTTCATGGACACCACCGCATATCTTAAATCGGAGAAAGCAGAGAAATTGAAACTGGTTTGAAATCCCAGTCATTGATTTGGATTTCAATCGCCAACAGAAGGAGATAGAGACATAAAAGAAGAAAAGACAGTACTAGGGATGGCGGTCGGTGACAGGGGATGGTGGTGTGGTAGGTCAGCGGCGGCGTGGGCTGTGATGCGGGCAGAGGCTTCGAGTGTTCTATCTGTGAAGAAGAAGAGGTGCGAGATGGGAACATCGCCGTCGTTGGCCGTCGGCGTTGCTTCTCGTCAGCGCCTCTGGTTTCCGCCGTCGCCTCCGCTGGCCGTGCTCCGCCGCCTTCGCTGGCCGTCATCCATCTCCAGTTGTGATTCCTTTGGGTTCCAGAACCGTTCTGTGCGGTAGGTAGCAGAAAACTTGCCGACACGGAACTTTAAAAAAAGACAAGGGCAAATCTGGAACAGACGGGAAAACAAGTCCTATTTAGGAGTTAAAAAAGTCATATTTAATTACATATGAAAACTTAAACTCCTATTTAGGACCATTTCTCTATGATTTAATTATTATTATACTACTTTTGAATTCTACCAAATTGATATAAATCACAAGTTTTATTTACCTATTATAATGAGTATGACTAATATATCCAACACTGTAGAAGTAATTTTCCTTGATCTATTTTCATTATAAATTGTGTCACTGTGTCAGCGCATATTTCCAAATTGCCATACGTATAACATAACTATAATGTAGAAAGTATATATCACATGTGTATACATAAAACCGTATAAATAAACAATTTAGATCTTTTTCATGTAAATAAAAATATAAAATAGTTTATAAAGAAATAATACATGAACACCCTATCATCGATTAATTTATGAGAAACCAATAGTATAATTATATTTGATTTAAATTTAGGAGAATAAATGAACACAAACCTTAAAATTTGACCATTTCATCCTTAGTTTCCCTTACCTTTTCTTTCCCTTTCGTTCCTCTCTTTCTCTCCTTTCTTCTTCATGTCTCCCTCCCAGTCTTCTCTCTCTGTTCTCTCCCTCTCTTTTCTCTCTAATATCATTGTTTCATTTTTTTTAAGTATTAATAATTCTATTTTACTTTTGCAGCCCAACTCCCATGAATGATGAGCAGGTGGAGTATTTTGTTTGCTTCTTCAATGAGTTTTCTGTCTACGTGTTCTTAGAAGACTACAAGCCATTAGGCTCAATCATAAATTTTTGTTCCTATTATTACATTATCATCATTAATTAATTAACTATTCAATACTTGACTCCTAGCCACGTGTCTAAAAAAATCTGAATTGTTCCTACTCTTCTTTGTTTCATTTGCATGATATAAGTTCTGAATATGCTCAATAAAAAATTCTGAATTGTCATGGAAGTTCTAAAATGGTTGTTGGGTCTTGTTTGTCATGCATGATATAATGTATTATACGATAGTATACATTAAATTGGCTTTTGTTTAATCTATGTCCACGTAAATGTTACGGAGTATTAGGCTAAATAATAAGTTACATTCCATACCATTTGCTATTTGATCATACAAATTTTGTTTATTTAACGATAACTTAAGTTAGTATGATTCAATTGTTCAATTTTTTTTAACCGTAGTTTTATTTTAGTAGAGAATAAATAGCTAAAAATTGTGATTCTTTTTATATAATTACTTTTACTTTCAGGTTTTAAAATGTGTAATTTTTGAGGACGTTACACTAATTGCAATAGAGAATATCTATGATAAGTAGTTGGCCTAAGCCGAATTAAGTTTGTAGCATGCAATATAGCATATCATCATGCAGATGATGGAATATGGATCTCAACAAGAATGGTCTAGCAATTACTTGTAATCGCTTAATTGGGGATTCAAAAAGACCATTTTGTTATGCACGCGTGGAGCCGAATGTTCCACAACCCAATTGATATGCAATAGTCCTTAAAGTTTGGGGTGTAAATCTTATTACATTATCAAGTTGGATTTTCTTTATCTAACAATCCGGAAATTGTGATCTCAAACGTATAATTTGAACTAGGAGATTTGCAAATGCAAAGTTTCTAGTCGCTAAAAGACTCTAAAGTGTGACCAATGTATTTCCTTGAAATCTTTCTAAAAATGAAGGGGATTCAACATCAATTTTATAACCATGACCTGAAAATGTATTTGTATAGAGAATAGGCAGTGCACGAAAAATCACTTGGTTGTGGACAGGGGCGTAGCCAGGACAACAAAGAAGGCTGGGCCGGAGCTCAAGACAAAGTTTATAATAAATATTCAATAATAAAACTAACCACAATTTATCATAAAAGTTGTTACAACAAAAGAGATAATGCATTATGCTACAAAGTCAATTGCACTCGGCGATCTTTTACTTTAGCAAACTCGTCGATAAGAGAATCAATATCTATTGTGCTAACAAGTTCTCTTTCAATAAAAACTGTTAAATTATCAGCTAGAAACTCGTCAGCCATCTTATTTCGAATCGCAGTCTTGACATGCTTCATCGCTGAAAATGCTCTCTCAGTTGTGGCCGTAGAAACTGGTAATGTTAATACAAGACGTATCAATCTTGTAATCATTTTAAAGTCTTCAGCCTTTCTTGTCTTGACCAACATTTCACATAAATTTGCAAGAGTAGGAACTTGAAATTGAGAGTTTTTTACCACATGAGAATGATAAAACGGCAGCTCCCCCATCAAAGCATTCCTCTCGTGTTGCTCAAAATCATTGGGATAAAACTCAACAACAAGCTTATATATATGATTGGCATTATAAGATTCAAAAGAGTTTCTCGAATCCAATGCCACACTAAGTTCCATAAGTCTAACTGTTGTCTCATTAAATCTTGATTCTAACTCTGCAACTTGAAAATCGATGGACTGTGAAATATTCAAAATGATAATAATGCTCAACATCCACCTCATTTCTTCCGCGGCACATTTTACTCTTCATGTCAGGTATATCAATTTTATGTTTTAAGCAAAAATCTTCTACTTGCTTAAACATATCCTCCCATCCCTTATCCCTCAAATCCTGAAGAAGAGTTTTGGCAGTTGAAACATATCCTAGCGTAGATAAAATGTCAACAGATTGCTTTTGAAATGCTTGACAAACAAAGTCAGTTATGCCCATAATAGATCTCATCACATGCAAACCAAACACAAAATTAAAGCTTTGAATACTTGAGCACGCTCCCTCTGCTTCATTTTGGATCTTTGAATTTGACCCATCACAAGCAATATTTTCAAGCACCTTACAAGTTGCATTATACAATTCAAGCATACTTAGAACAGAATCATAATGAGAGCCCCAACGAGTTGTACCTGAACGCTGTAAGAATGACATTTGGTTGGCCCCTCGTCCAGATTGTCGCTCCCCACTTTCCAACATAGCATCAATTTCTAATCTATGAGCATCTTGTAGTTCTGTATTGCGCTTAGCAGAAGACTTAACAATATTAATGAGTTTATCCAATATAGAAAAGAATTTCCAAATAGGATCACATTGCTTTGCTGCAGGCACCAATGTCAATTGCAACCTATGAGCAAAATAATGGACATAATACGCAAATGGACAATCATTAATAAACAATGCTTGTAATCCATTCCACTGCCCTCGCATGTTGCTAGCGCCATCATATCCTTGGCCTCGTAATTTGTGAACTTGAAGATTGAAATGAGACAGGACATTCATAATCTCATGCTTAAGTGTTTCAGAAGAAGTCTCAGAAACGCCTTTAATAGCAAAGAAACGCTCAGTTAAAATACCTGTAGCGCTCACGAATCTCAAGATAATCGCCATTTGTTCTCGTTCTGACTCATCCTTTGCTTCATCAACAAGGATAGAAAAACAAGAATCTCCAATTTCCTCTCGGATCAACCAACGAACTCTGTTAGCCATTAGTGATAAAACTTCTTTTTGGATGTCCGGAGAAGTGGATTTGGCATTTCTTGGCGCATTACTCAATACAACATCTTTCACATCGGCATTCCACTTTGCTGTGTAATTTATCAGTACAATCACATTTCCTCGATTATAAGACTTTTCAGACTCATCGTGACCCCTGAATGCACATCCTTGCAATGCAAGCCACTGAACAGTCATGATTGTTGTCTTTAACCGTATACGGTAAGAAATCACACATTTTATGACAAAAGTCTGTGTGACGCATTGAATTTTTTCACATTTTGTGGTGTAATAGTTACAAAATTGAATTCCGTCATTTTAAAATGAATAATTATGACAATATCAATACATGTCATTTTAAGTCTCACTTTTCGTCACAAATTGACCTAAATTGTGACGATAAAATGAAATGTGTCACTTTTGTTGTAGGAGTTCAATTGTGACGCCAAAATCTAGGTGGGAAACATTTTAGTGACAATATAATTTGTCATCTAAGGTTTCTTTTTAATGACAATATCATATGTTGTCTCGAATTCTTTCATTAAACAATGACAATATTACTTTGTCACTAATGTTCCCCTTTAATGACGATAAATATAAATTTTTAAAACTTCCTCTTTGCCAACTCTCTCAATGACTTTATCAATATGTTGACACGGTCTCATCAAAGAATTAGCACTTGTCACACATATGAGGAGATGCAGAAGTTGTACCAATATGAATAAGAAATACACACTCCTTGCCCTGGTGGACTCTCTTCCAATTATCAAATCCAGTGCTCACTAATGCAGAAGTCTTAGATAAATGCACATTATCACATAAAAGAAAGCACATAAAACAATATGACTTGTGTGTAGTAGGAGAGTACTCTAGCCAATTAAACTCATTATACCAACTCGATTGAAAATGACAAATTTTATCTTTATATTTGCGACCCTTATATGTCTGAAGTTTTGGTTGATAAGGGACGGATATCAAATATAGTCATCTCACTTCATCCCTTTTCTCTAAAGGCCAATTAGATATTTTTTTCCTTTTTCCAGGATCTCTTTCAATCTCCACCGAAGTACAAGAAGACTGGTTTTCAACATTACAAATATTTTGATGCTCACTTGTACCTGGATCTCTTTCAATCTCAACCGGAGTACAAGTAGACTGATTTTCAACATTAGAAATATTTTGACTCCCGCTAGCACCTTCACTTTGTACTTTACTAGCAGGTTTAAAGAAAGAACGCAAAGTGACTTTGTTTTTCTTCAAAGGAGGCTATTGAGTAGCCATAAGTTCCTCTATCAAATCCAAATAATGTAAAAAATCATTATAAATTATTGAGATAATATTAAAGTAAAAAAGAAACTTACATTTTAAAGTATGTTATTCTGAAATTTCAATTCTGACATTAACATATTCATATTATCATATAAGTTATATTTATATAACTACTTAACAATTAACATACTCTGAAACTCACTAATCACAATATACACACTAACACATAATTAAAAAAATGCAGAATATAAAAAAGTAGGTAAACAGTACACAAAATAAATTCATTCAACTCATGACTAATTAAGATTTAATTATAAAATGTCACAATGAATTAATGAAATATATTAGAAGTACAATTCATAAAAGGGTTAGAAGTTAGAACATTTACCTCTATTCCTAAAGAAAGGGCCGGATTTCAGAAGACTTTGTCAATTGGAGCTCTATCCACCAAACTCCTCCAGTCCTCCATTCGCCGGCAAGTTTCCGCAGACCGCAGTCCACCGCCCAGCAATCGTCCCCACTCCCCAGTGCTCTTAAGAGTCGCAACCTCGCACCAGTCGGCAGTCGCACACTTGCACTCCCAGAGACGGAAGTCACGGAAGAGTCCGCCACTCGTCCATTGACTTCTTCAATTTTCCAATCGTTCGTATGTTTATGTACCCTATGAACTCTTAGCCCAACCTACCCTGGGCCAGGGCCCAGTCAGGCCCAGCCCCTCCTACGCCCCTGGTGATATGTGGAAAGAAATGAAGACATAAGGGTGGATGAGTTTGAATGGATTTAAAATATTAACATGAAAATTTTTAAATATCATTTATTTTTATAGTGCATAAAAATGTAAAAAAAAAAAACAACTAAAAATACCTTCTTCATTTATAAAAATTCGAACACAATGATTAAAATGAACACTTCAGACATAAAAGATCAAATTTAAATGAATATATAATAGAATAAAAGAATAATACAAATCTTACTTATAAAAAAACTGTGATAATCATATTTTTATTCATGATACTAATAATAAGAGTATAAGACGTTTGTTTATGTCCTTCAATTGTTTTCAAAAAGTACATTTAATTAACATGTACATAATACAATTACATTCTGTACACTTTAGTAAAGTACAAAGTACTCCCCCGTCCCACTAACAGGGACATGAGGGATTGACACCGATGGTACCATGGATTCAGCCCATGGCCCAACTACTTAATCCAGCCCATCTACGGGATCAGCCCTCAACGGGATCAGCCCTCTACGGGATCAGCCCTCAACGGGATCAGCACATCCACGGGATCAGCCTAATTAACAGGATTAGCCCATGGCCCAACTACTTAATCCAACCCATAAACGGGATCAACCCTTAACGGGATCAGCCCATCTACGGGATCAGCCCTCAACGGGATCAGCCCACAACGGGATCAGCACATCCACGGGATCAGCCCATCAACGGGATCAGCCTAATTAACAGGATTAGTGTAACACCCCGGCCCCGTGAGACCCGAGGTAGTTATTTCAGACCTCTAGTACTGTCCTCACAAACCACCACGAGCCATTACCGCGCACTTTGTCCTCACTCATACGTGCCCTGAGAAACTTCCCAGGGGGTCACCCATTCCAAGACTACTCCCGTGCAAGCACGTTTAACTTTGGAGTTCTTGGGTGATGAGCTCCCTTAAAAGGAGATGCACCTCTGTTGATATGAGTAGTACTATTAGTCCATTTATATTATATCTCAAGTGTTACAATCACCCCCACTTAGGATCGCAACGTCCTCGTTGCGCCCTTGAACCAATCTAAAATCTCAATCAAATCCCAGAATCCACCCCTGCTAAGTGTTCGCCCGATATCCAACGGGTCAGCACACGGGCGCAAGGTTGCTCTGATACCATCTATAACACCCCGGCCTTGTGAGACCCGAGGTAGTTACTTCAGACCTCTAGTACTGTCCTCACAAACCACCACGAGCCTTTACCACGCACTTTGTCCTCACTCATGCGTGCCCTGAGAAACTTCCCAGGGGGTCACCCATCCCAAGATTACTCCCGTGCAAGCACGTTTAACTTTGGAGTTCTTGGGTGATGAGCTCCCTTAAAAGGAGATGCACCTCTCTTGGTATGAGTAGTACTATTAATCCATTTATATTAAATCTCAAGTGTTACAGTTAGCCCATAAACAGGATCCAACCCATAAACGGGAGTGATATCGAATGAGCCGCTGGACCCATTGGGAATCAGGCCCACGATAGGAACCCACAGCCAGGCCGGACTGGACAGCAGACCTCGAGCCTGGACGGAGTTCTAGTGAGGCCGATATATTCCTGAGGTTTACGTGGCAAGGTACCATTCGAAGATAGATATTTGGCAACAGAGGATTTCGTAGACTAAAAGGAGAAAGTAATCGTGTGGGAATCAAGGACCGAGGAGTTCTATTTCAATCAATAATATAGTTCATTAATTAGCATTGATTGTATGAGATTCCTTCCATAATTCTACCACTTAAATCTCTATAAATACTTGATGTAAACACCCTACCAAAGGGACAGATTTCGGAAGATCGAATTGATCCTCTTAGTCCGGAATAATAATACACAAACTGCGTTACGCTGCCATATTATTGAATATTTTACGTATATTTAGCTCTCGTAGTTGGATTTAACTCCATCAGACACGCATACTAAGAAATGTGAGTTATGTAATTGATATTAAATTCATAAAATAAGAATAAATTAAGAATAATTTAGAATTATACAAATTTACTAAGTTTGGTATGAGACACTCTTAGTGACACGGACCAAAAAGGAAATTGGGAAAATTTTCGTGGGATGGAGGGAATAATATATCTACAACCAACTGCTACTGCTCATTAAGTGTCAACGGAGTCCTAAAAGCAACCAATTGCCTACTTATTTGGGTTCCATTTATATTGCTAAATTTAAGTGATTTTTTACAGTACTAAAATCAGAAATTGACCTAAATAGGAGTAAAAACGTTTTCAAATTCCAAAATAGGAGTATCATGTTTTTTATTCCTTGAATAGAAGTAAATTTCTGCCAAGTTTGGCATTACAAGGCTTTTAAACATGGCATTTTCTTCCAAACTTAACAGATTACTCCTATTCAAGGAATAAAAAACATGATACTCCTATTTTGGAATTTCAAAACGTTTTTACTCCTATTTAGGGAATTCTCTCTACTAAAATTTAAGTGATTGAATAGAACTTAATTTGTTGAAAAATGAATTCAATGTAAAATAATTTATTACTTATGTTATCTCACTTTCTTGGAGCTAAATTCAAATTTCTTTCTGGCTAAATTTAATTGATTGTATTAAAATTGTTGTTATTGCTGTTGTATTTATTATTGGTATTATTGTTATTTGTAATACTCCTTATTTTTATTGTTATTATTATTAAGATTTTTAATATCAACATCACTATCACTATTGTTTTGTATTAATTTAGTGATTGTTTTAGCGGGTTTCGTGGTTGTATTTTTCACAAGAGCCGTTTTTCTGGGTACAATGGAAATAAAGGGGGTGTTTGGCATTTAACAGTTAGATAGTAGCAGATTATGTTAGCGAATTGTTAATAGCGATAGCAGTCAGTGAGTTTGACTAGCGGAATAGGTTGGCGGGTTGTCAGAAGATGTTTGGTAATTTAGCTGTTTGACGATAAAATTAGTAAAAATGTCATATTTCAAAACGTCAATCCAAAACTATCATATTTTGTCATTTTTATTTCAACACTTTCGTCCAAAAACTCTAATGCCAAACAACTATTTACTGAACAATTTTTTCGACTAAAAAATGATCAAATTGCTATTTTTCGACTAAAAAATCATTTACCAAACATCCCCAACAACGGAATGGTTACTGATGAAGAATTGTTAAGGGTTACAAAAACTTTTTTATGGGAATTGAACTGAATCGAGTTAGAATGTTTTCTTTTGACTGAAATTTGTTGATCTGATCTAATAAATATAAAACGTCTGGTATTGTGTACCAGTGTTTTATAACTAAGAAAGTCTGATCTAATCTGGTGTGAGACCGAGAAAACAGTCAAAGGAAAACATCTACTCCCTCCGTCCCGGGGAGAAGTTCCCAATTTCCTTATTTGGATGTCCCAAAAGAAACTTCCCATTTCCCTAAATGGAAAGTTATCCTACATTAAAACAGTGCCAAACAGTGCAAAATAGTGTCAAACAGTGTCGAAACAGTGCTAAACAGTAAAATTTACCCCTCAGTAACTTTATTTCCTAAAAATGTGTGAAAGTCAACCCCGGGAACTTCTCTCCGGGACGGAAGGAGTATGATTCTTGGTTCCAAAGTGGCCACTGCAAAAACCGAACCCACTTGATCAAACCTATGTACAGTAGGCGGCGCACGCTCGACGTTGCAAGGAAATGACCTGCGTACAGTAGTGTGTAAGAATCGCCTCTAGCCACTACTGGTAGCTAGGCTCTTCCAACTTGCCCCACGCTCTTTTGTTCCTTCTAATCTTTTCGAATCTTCACATTTCTCAATCACCCTGTCTTTTCAGCATCATCTTCTTCTCCCAGCACTTCGTTTTTTATCCCAATGTTTCTCATATCATTAATACTCCGTATAAAACTATGCGCATCAAACATTCCCTCAGTCTTCATACATTTACTCGAATCTCCGCTCGCTGTCAACGCTTCCATTGATCTCTCCCCCCTTTACGAAGCAGAGCACTTCCTGTTAAGCTCGATTTTGACCGAATTGTTTCGTACGTGTCTCTGGACATGGCGTAATCTCACTCGTTTATCAATCTCGCTAGTAGTCTCACATAGCACGCGATCTCAGAATGTTGACTTGCATAGCTCGATCAAGGCAGCTTCGCAGCGAATCTCTCCCAAAAGCCGAAGAAGAAGAAGATGTCGGCGTCGCTAGTACTCTCGGAACCAGACAAGCCATCAAATCCCTCACTTCCCAGGTACAGTACAGTTCATCATTTTCATCCGTTATAGATTCAAACAACGAATTTTACTTCATTCAATTCTGTTTATACGGAATATTTTTTATGCTTAATTTATTTGAACAAATCAGATTAAAGAGATGGCGCTCAAAGCTTCTGGTGCGTATAAGCATTGCAAGCCGGGTTCCGGTAGGCCAAACAATAATCATAACAGAAATTGCCCCGATTCGGAATCCGAGTCGGTTCTGGAGAGGTTTCGTTGTGGATATAGAAGGGCGGGGAATCCGGATTCAACCCCAATCTTAAGGGGAAACGGACTTCATGGAGTGTTTTCGAGCGATGGAGGAACGCCGGAATCGGCGAGTGGTCGAAGTGACTCGCCCGTGGGGTTCATGGAAGAAGACGGCTGCGTGGAGTGGGTGGCACAGGTTGAACCTGGAGTACTCATCACCTTTGTTTCTTTGCCTAATCGAGGTGGTAATGACCTGAAGCGAATAAGATTCAGGTACCTAGCTTGGCCATCACCTTTGGAGTATTACTCCGTATTTTTTATGACGTATTTTATTTCAATTACTCCGTATCTATGTTGCACCGACCAGCGGATAGGCTAATACGCGAATACGGGTACGACGATACAGCAACATAAAAAATTATAAGATACGGGTACGGGCTATATTTATAAATAATACGAGTAATAATATAGGGTATACTTTTCAAATATATATAATTCAGAGATTCATAAATAAAATAATAAATAGTACCAAAAATTAACAATTATAATAATATTTCAAAATTTAGATTAAAAACTAAAGTACTGATATTTCGATTTAAATTTAAATAATACTTTTAGTTCTCTATATGCATTTATCTATGTCAGTTAACAAGATTGATTTTAATTAAAGCACATCAAGCGATAAATTGACAAATTATAGTATTTCAATATTTTTCATACTTCCAAATCATCTTTACTAATTTTCTACATCTTGAAGTAGTTTGGCGGCTACTAAATTTTCGTCACGCTGTATGTGAAATCAGGGTTATAGGGTTAGATACGCGTATCGGTTCACGGATATGAGTATCAGAAGTATCCATATTTTTTAAAAAAAGTCCAATACTTTTATTAAATTAAGGATACAGACCCAATACGCACATGACGCGTATCGGGGAGTATCGGTATCGGATACGTATCGGATACGCGAATACATTTTTGAAGATTTTTGAAATAATTAATAACAAAAGATTGAAGATAGCACTTTTATAACATTAAATTAAAGTTATGGAAAACTATTCGAAATTCTATTTTTTCTTTTAACCATTATCGTTTAAACAACAAAATCAATAGACCGTTTACCAAATAAAAAATAGTTGTTTAAATACGAAGTACTCCGTATGTTTTAATCCATACAAATATAGTACATTTTGTCTAGCATTTTGTGAGTGTTTGATGCTCTATTTAAGTAACAAGGAGTATTAGGCAAAAATCAGGGCACTAGAATTTTGTAATAAGCAGAAAAAGTGAGGTTAGAGTTACTTTACTGGCTGTATTGGCTAAAGTTACTGTAGATGTTCATTTTAGCTATTTTACAAATAATTTTTTCTTTATTTTATTAATAAAATATATTTTAAAAATAGTTTTTTGTTAAATCAGCAGAATCAGTCGGTACAGTCACTTCAGCCAGAACTTCATAAATTTCAGCGGAATTTGCCAAATAAGCCGATTTTCGTGCTATCAAATAGGCTCTAATCATACATTTAGTGAGTACTGAGTTGTAATGAAAATGTTTTACGTAGTGCAATTCAGCGATTTAAACATTACCAAATATGAAATGGTGTCACGTAACACTCATATGCATTTTTTAGGTATCAAACATTCAAATCCGCCTTTATTAAGATAGTACAGTAGTCACCTGCTTTTTATTATCTACATTTAAAGTTGACTAAAAGGTCAAATAGGTCGATGAAATTTGAACCCTTTTTTTCCGGTTCGGAGTGCGAATTAGAACTTTTTTTAGTTCAGAGACTGAATTGAGCTCACACGACCGATTCAGGAGCCTATTTGACTTTTTAGCCTTTAAAGTTTTGTTTTGTTTGAGAGATTGCTGCAAGTTGAGCGTTTATTGTCCTTAGTTTGTTGTTTGTGATGTATATGTACATTAATGCAGAATATGTAGTTTTGACTAAATATGGGTGAGTCCACTGTGCCTGACTTGCCCTCAAATTGCGGGGGTGGGGCTCAAGATGGCCTCCGCCTTTCCCAAACCAAACTAACAGTCTAACATTCGATAGGTGCATTGAATTTCCAAAACGTCAAAATAACAACACTTTCACGCCATGTTCACCTGTTGTTTGTGATCTCATCATTGATCTCCTGTCTTAGTACTTATGTGCATGAAGGTGAGTAATGTATAATTAAGGAGCTGATGTTAAGGCTCTCTCCCAAAACGATGACAAAACGGCTCTCACAGAAGGTTATTTTCAAAAACATGAGGAGTAATTGTTGAATTCTATACGGGAAATAGTCCTAGATAGGAGTAAACTAATCCCTAAATGCACAAATAGTACTATGATGCTTATCTTCTCAAAATAGGAGTAAAGTATAATCTATCTTCTCATTCTATCCTTAACATAACTTAATAAGAAAATTATACTCCGTATTTTTATTTGTATTAAAATAATAAAAATATTTTAATTTATTATAAAATCAGACAAAATAGAAACAAATAAAACTAAAATAAAATAGGAGGCCTTTCACGCCGCCTCTGCCACTTTCTAGCACCATCACCTCCTATTGCAAAATAATGTCATTTTGTGGGGAAATGCCACTTATTTTTTTAAAATGCCAAATTTTACTCTGAAATTGTCTTCAAGATGGCATTAATAATGCATGTTGACATTGTTTTGACCATCAGTGATGGTGATGCTAGGAGGTGGCAGAGGGCAGCGACAGAGGCTTGCATATGCTTTTATTCTTCGCTTTTTATTTTAATTTTTAAACAACAACATTATCCAAGCTTTAGTCCAAAAGGTATTGGGGTCGGCTAACATGATTTGATACATGATATCACAACCAAAAGGAAAAGAAAGAAAATAAAGATAAAAAAGATAAACTATTATGAAAAAGATAATATAAAAAGAGATGAAGTGTTGCTTAATTTTTTTATTTTCATTTTTTATTTTTTATTTATATTTATTTTATGTAATATTCATTTTTATGTTAACTAATAATGAAAAAGTGAATTTTTGTTTTTTTGGATGAAAAAATTAGAGAAGCGACTCCGCTGGATGAAAAAGTGAATTCTTGTTAAAACATAATATGAGTAGGATTGGAGTCATGGTTAGGGAATAGTACTGATTGCCATGAAGAAATAGTACTGAGTCTCTACCAAATGTAGAAAAGATTAAAAAAAAGGAATTCATAAGAATAATATATGCTTTCAGGGATTACAATAATAATCTTCACTCAAGCATGTAAAAGTTTGTCACATTTTTTGAAAAGACAAGAACTAATCACAATTTGTGAATTGAGCCTCAAGATAGTCATGACTATATGGATGTACTTAAATTTTTCTTCAAAATATTCTGTTTAGGAAATTGGGGTAGATTCAAACGATCAAACTAATGCCCATTTTATACTTCTAGCTCTTACTCCAACTTCTCACTTCCCTGTTCTTCTTCGCAGGGTGAATTCAATGTAATGCCCTTTTAATTTCGACGTCATTTCCTTCGTATGTGGTTCCCCTTAGGTTGGAAGATAGAAGCGTTACTCGAGACAATGTTTGTGTAAATTTAAGATTTAAGTTGTGATTCGGACATTGTTTTTAGTAAGAGACATACACTAAAAAAGTGAAAATAGCGTCTCTTGTTTAAGTAAGACTCTTGTTTGGGTATTGAGTTATGCTTGTTTCATGTTTTTATACAGTAAAGTCTTATTCTTATATAATAGTCTTACACAGTTGTGATATGACACTTGAGTTCTACCAAGTTCATATATATGCAGTATAAGTTTTTTCATTTGGAGCTATGCACATTGATAGTATATATTAATATATGTATACATTCTCAGTTGCGAAATGTTTAACAAGTGTCAAGCCCAACAATGGTGGACCAACAACTATGACAAGGTCATGGAATTGTACAATGTCCAGAGGCTCATTCCCCAGGCTGCCCCCTTACCAATTCCACCATGGTCTCAGGATGAGGTAAAGGATAGTAAGGACTTGTTCATTTTGAATAAAACTTCACCTACAAAATCAACCATGGTCTCATGTGAATTGTTTTGTTGGGAATTAATCAAAACCCGTTAATTTAAGTTCGTCTTATCTAAATTGATCTTTGTTGGTTTAAATTTGATTTGAGTTTATCTATTCTAGTTTGATTTCATGACATTTTATCATCATTTATGTTCATTTGATGTTGATCTTGGGTAATCTATCCAATTTGATGATTTGATCAATGAAACTTTATATAATAACTCTTTTGAGCTTCATCCCAACTTAAACTTCTCATTTACATTTGGATGCTCCAACATAATAACAAATTAAATAATTAATTATAAGCTATTCAAAATAATACACTTACAAATGACCACATTATTATGTTTATAATGATGCTTATGAGTTTATCCGGACTCTCATAGATTTCATAAACCTGATTAGAATTTGGTAGCATCTGCGATTTATTGTTAAAATAGGTAGACTCCACTAATATATAAAAACCTTGGACGCCCTCCTAAACCAGATTACAAGAGCTTAATTTAGATTTCAATCTTTTAGCGAACCTCACCCATATGAAATTGAAATTGTTGTACAGATCTCAAAAGTGGAATCGAGTGAGGACGGCCTTGTGATCCCTCCTATAAGCAAGGAGCTCCTGTCCGGTCACTCTCATAGCCCGAGGGCAGTCGGGGATTACGCTGCCTCCTCTTCATCAAAAGATTTTTCCAGGGAGATTGGTCAGTCCGATGAGCCGTCGGTCAGCAATGCAAGTGAAATGGAGACGGAATGGGTTGAGGAAGACGAGCCAGGAGTGTATATTACAATCCGAGCCTTGCCTGGTGGCCCTCGAGAGCTTAAAAGAATTAGATTCAGGTGAGTGATTCTTTCCAGGTCACCTATGGAGGATGTACCCCATTCAAGATTTAACTCGTTTCCAAGTTATCTTCGTATTACTCTTTCTTTGTGCGCCCCACTTTCCTTTTCGAGTTGTATAAAAATAAGTGTCTCACTTTCATTTTTGAAAATAAATCCACTCCAAAACAACTACAGTACACTTCTTTAATAAAGTAATGCTACAGTATCAATTTTGTGGAAGTTGGTTTTTGAATGCTTCTAAGGGTCTGTTTGCAACAGCTTCTGCTTTTTAAAAAATGTTTTTTTTAATGAAATGGGGAGAAGTGATTAAATAAAAGTTGAAAGTGTTTGAGAAAAAAAAGATTTTGAAAAGTTAAAGTGGATAATGTTTGGTAAAATAAGTGCTTTTTTTGTAATTGAAAAAGTAAAAACACTTTTGACGCGGAAGCCGAGAAAAATAAAAGTTGTAGTGTTTGGGAAAATAAGTGTTTTTTTAAAGCCAAAAGCTGAGAAGTGCTTTTTTAAAGCAGTTTCAAACCAACCCTAAAAGTGTCTTTTAGGAGCAATTTGGAGCACATACAAATACTTTTGTATTTTTACTCAAACACTCTAATATCTGATTTTGAAAATAAATCCACTCCAAAAGCAACAACAGTGCACTTTACACTTTAATAAAGTAACAATACTGCTATAGTATCAAAATTCTTCTACTTTTTCAAAAGTGTAAGCAAACCTATAAATTATCTTAAACTATGCAAAAAGCCTACCAGGAGTCCGAGACACTTAATTTAATACAATTTAATACGGAGGGAGTATTTCAATTTTAAGGGTGTTTCAATTTCAAGGGTGCATGCAATTGATTCTGCATCTGCTTCTTTTTAAAAGCAGAAAGAAAATTAGAATCAATTTTTTGGAAGTTGGTTTTCTACTGCTTCTAAAAATGTCTTTTAGGAGCAATTTGGAGCACATACCAATACTCAAACACTCCATTGAATTAGATTTAAACTGAAAAGATTAGAACCAGATAATATTAGAGTTTAAGATCATCTAATAGTAGTGATGCGAACAATAAAAAGGTCACATAACAAATAATTTATTCCAAACATACTAGGGGTGTTTGGAACTGATTCTGCTTCTGCTTCTTTTTTAAAGCAGAAGCAGAATCAGAATCAGTTTTCAGAAGCTGGTACCTACCAGCTTCTAAAAAAACTGATTCTAAGAGTAAATTGGAGCACTAGAAGTGCTTCTGGAATTTCTGCCAAACACTCCACCTTCTGTTTCTGATTCTAAGTGTTTATGCCAAACACTCCACCTTCTAATTAGTAGTGAAAGTTTTTGTTTAATTCTTTATTCCATATTCCATAAGACGGAAGAGTAATTTCATGCAATTTTCTAACGCAGCCGAGAAAGGTTCGGAGAAATAGAGGCGAGGTTGTGGTTGGAAGAAAACAGATCCCGGATCCAACGGCGATATTTGTGATTGTGTACGTACAGCATGTCACTCAGGGTACAACTCCTATAAATGACCTATCTATCATTATTCCATCTTTAGCAAATTGGTTGAGACGTTTGAGTCAACTTTGATATGCCTTTTTGGTTTGCCACCTTATCTGTCTGTTGATTCATCTTTTGTTGTCGCATTCAGCCCAGTTCGTCGTTATGCTCATGCCACCAAAATGATGGAGCTCGGCGGTTCAAATTTCATTCGTCTGCTGGCTTTCAAAGTAGTATCCTCCAAATATAATGATCTTGTAAATATAGATGGATATGGATAATGGATACCTTTTGGATGTATTAGAAATGTAGTATGCTCTAAATTAATCGGAGGTGCATTTAGTTGGATTTGTTGAGTATGACATACTTTGTTTTAGATCCCTGTAAAATAAATTTTTTGCTTTTCTATTTTGTTTTTAGTTCTATTCTAATTCTGAAATCACTCTACTTAGAAAAAAATTTATTGTCAGTTACATAAATCGATTAGAAATATTTAAAATTTGTACTTTTTTCAAATTTTTTCGAGGCTAAAATAATGTAAAACTAATTCTTCACATTTTAAAAATATATATTAAAAGCCTTCGAAATATAAAATTAAATACTTTTTGAATAACGTGATAAATAACTAGAAGAAATCTATTAGTTGGGTGATTTTGAGATGGTGGTGGACTCGGGTCGGGCCACCCGGCCCGGTTCTCGGGTCCGGGTCCGGGTCGGGCCTAGGCCCGGGGGGGTGGTCCGGGCTCGGGTCTCACATTTGGCGAACCGGCCCAGCCGGGTCGGGCCCGGGTCCAGGTCAAATTGTTTTTTTTCTCCATTTTTTGGGGTTCCACCCGGGTTGGGCTTGATGGTTAGGAGGGGTTTGGGGGGGTAGGAAAGCAAAAATAATAATAATAATAATAATAATAATAATAATAATAATTACCCAAACCAGAGGCCCGGCCCGGACTGAACCTGGTGGCTACCCGGGCCGGTCCCGGGTCCACCAATCCTGAACCGCCGGCCTGCCCGGGCCTAGGCCCGACCCGGACCCGGCCCAGGTCCATCACTATTTTGAGGTCAAATGAAGGTTGTTATCATCGGTGATTGACTAAAAATAATTAGCATAAATTGCAAGGACAGAAAATAAAAAATAAAAAATTTGTAGGGATGTAAAACAAAATGTACTACATTTGCAGGAACTAAAAACATATTTAAACTTTTTTTTAGATAAAAAGGTTATAGTATTAACAAGAGGTTTTGAGATGACTGATGAGTGGTTTATACTTTTAATATGTAGTATAAAAATCGAATACACGATAACTAGCACAGAATTTCTTAATTAAACACTAAAGATAATATTACAAAACGATCACATAACACAAAAAAGAATTTGAAGCATGTCGTGTGAATATTGCTATAAAACTTAATTAATTCATACTTCGTGTAACTCAAATAAATGACCAATCAAGACTTTTACACGGATTTAAAACATCATATATAGCCTAATAATAATAATCATCGTTGGTCAATGTTTCAACTTTCTCGTTGCCCAACTAACTAAGTTACTTGTGGGATTAGGATTATACTTTTCAAATGCCCATAGTAAGGAGTGTATATTCTCATTCTACCCTACATATTTATCATTTCTCTTTCTTCTCCGATCTATCATGCTCAACAAGGCCATCTCCCCTCTCCCTATCTGACTCTCTCCCTCTCCGTTCCTCATCTCTAGATTCCAAGTTTCCATTTCCCCCCCTTCTCTTGTTCATCTTTGTAATAACTCAATTTTTCCCGGCCATCTCAATTTTCTCCAACTTCGGCGAATTCCAGGAGTATGAACAATAGATTTTCCTCTTCCTCCCCCTCTTCTGTTTTGTTTTGCTTTTCTTCAATTTTTGATGAATTCTTCTAGTTTTCTACATTTTAATTTTAATATTTTTTTGATTGAATTCGAAAAATTACCCGATTAATTTGTGACTACTCTTGACTCGAACATTGAAGTGAAAAAAGAATGCTAATTTTACATTACCTTTATCAATATGATATTATTACTCTTACAATGCCATATTTTTCAATCTAAAATGCCTTTTTGACAAGTAATGTAATTTTTATGGTACTTGGTCTAATATGAAAGTGGAATAGTTACTATTTTAATTTTCCCCAAAAAACATACCCTTAATTCGAACATCGATTTGTGGATGGACAATATTGCTCATATAGTGCGAAGTTTTTCATATTGAAAATGTCATTTTATCACATAATAACAATATGAAATCAATATGTCATTATTAAGTTTGTGACAATAACAATCATAGTTTATGGTATGACAAGGATTCAAGTTTTTGTGGCTTTAATTCCAGGCTGAAGATCAGAGGAGGTGGTGGTTGCCAGGTGCGGTGGGGGCGGCCTCATCATCAGAGGAGATCGGCTGAGGAGCTAGGTGTTGCAGGTACCGACGACCTCATTGAGGGACGAGGTCAATGACGGCCTCATCGGGGACGAGATCGACAACAACGAAGTCGCCTGAGTGTAGACTTTGCCGAAGGATATGGCATCAGTTGTTCCATGGTTGTGAGCTTTGTGCGGGTGATGATGTCCAAGGAGCATACTTGGAGCTTCTAATTTTTTACTTAATGTATTTTACATAGAATTGAAAATATTCATTAAGGGCAAACTGGTCATGTCACTTTTACTCGTATGAAATATTATGCTCTTACTTGTGCATTTCAACAATGATTTACTCTTACACACAGAATTCCCCCATGGATAAAAGAAGATGAACATGGACGAATGTTAATCACATGTCTTAATTATAATTGGTTAAGACACGTGATGAGGTGGAGATAATTTACTCTTTCTGTTATGGGGTTAGCTACCGAAATTAAGATAGGAAAATGGACGATTTGATAAGCTATGAACTAATATAGAAATTCTTTGATTAATAGTAAAAAATGCTCAAAAGAGCATTCAACTCGTGAACCTCTAACAAGTCTTTACTGCGTTGTTTCTTTACTGCGAAGCCAATAACGTTTCTTGTTAAATTTATGATTCCATGAATATGTAATCATATAATAATCAAGAAAATAAATGAATATAAAATTCAAAATACTCTCAAATTGATTTACTCCTCTTGGGCCTAAATGTTACTTTCAAATTGGACATTCTGTTTTCTTCTTATGCTCTTGCATAAATTGCTGTCTCGTGTTTTATCAAATTTGGCTTATTACATTGCTAACTACTATTCCTATTGTGTATAATGTCACACCCCAGACAAGCATAAATTGTATTCTCGTGTTTTTATCAAACTTGGCTTATTACATTGTTAACTACTATTCCTATTATGTATAATGTCACGCCCGGACCACATTTGTGTCACGTGGACAATCCTCGTACAATCCAATGAAGATATTCACAATTAATCTTCATTGAATTGCACAAGGCGTTCGAAAAATTCATATAACAACCCGGCTAGTAAACACATATAAACAACATCAGTATCAATATCAACCATAGTGTGAAACCGAAATGTTTAATATCGAGCTAAGCATGGAAAATGAGTGTGCAGGCTCCAAAATGTTCACAAAAACATTGTTTTAAATTATCCATGAGCAATTATATAGTTTGAATACAGAAAAAAGAAACATGATCCACGTTTTCCTTTTCAGATAACCATCCAATGCAAAGGTGCAGGAAGTAGAACTTTAGTCTCAACTTGTAAAAATAGTGAGGCCCCTCTGAAGGGGTCAGTGCTCCACCAAGGCGAAGTACCGGTGACATCCATGCTATATGAACGATAACTAGTATTTCGAGTATAAAGACCTAAACATATGATAATACATACGGAGTATATAAGGGCATAGACTACCGCTACCACAACCACAATATGATACTTATCGTACATACTTGTTTTCTTAAACTCGGAAGGTAAACAACTCATCGGTGAACAAATGTCGGGTTACATTTGCAATGTTTTATTAGAGGAAAAAATAAAGTACAAAAAGCGAGAGGGGCTATACCAAAACCTTTCCTGAATAGGCAGCCCCTTTCAAAATACACAAATATAATGCATAGAAAAATAAGAATAAAATTTGAGGGGACCAAACCTTACCCAACAAGATTGAACGTGGGGCATTCCGGTTTATATGACAAGTTTGATTATCGTTGAAGTCCTACACTAGTAAAATATGAAGTAATAAAGTGTAATATTAAGATTCCGTGTTACTCCCCTATCAGGTTGACAATTTATGAAACCCTAGGTCTTAAGTTGGTATCAGAGCCAAAGCAAATTTCATCGTAATCATGGTGGGCCCCCCTATGAAAAAAATGTTGAAAAAATTATTAAAAATGATGAACTGACGAAAAAAATGAATGATGACACAATTTCGGCGAAAAGTCTCAGTGTGAGGAGGGGTGTTGAAGTCGTACGCTGTTAAAATATGAAGTAATAAAATGCTATATTAAGGTCCTCAGTTTCTCTTCCTGTGATTTTTTTTTTTTGCATTACTCTGAGGGACATCACAAGTCCAATATCACCATTTCATGAACTAGTTGACCCAAATCCAGAACTATGACAATATATTCATGACAATATATTCAAAGGATTCCCCATTATAGTGGTGTGGACCGATTCAAGTATAACAAATATTTGTTTAACAAAGCTTTTTCCAATCTTCTTCACTGTAGCATATAACATATCATTTTTTCATCAATGAACTTGAGGGTTCTGTAACAAAAACCATCTTCTTGAGCAATGCCGCAAAACCTCGTGGTGTGATACGGCGGGATAAACCAATGGTGGGATAAACCAATGGGGTCTCCAACCGCATCATCAAACTTTGCGGATTTAAGAATAATTTGAGGTTCCTATTGTCTGGCAATGGGTAATAATACTAAATCCCAAGCCAAAATGTATCATATATTAGTAAAAATTATGCCCAAGAGTGGAAGTGTGAACATTGGTAGTATATCCCAATCCATCCCCACTGCCCGTTTTAGAAAAATGTCCTACTCCTGGGTAAACATTATCCTCACTTCCATTCTTCTTGTACGTTTTTTCTTAAAATTGTTATTGCTCCTTCAATGCCATCTATACTCCCATTCCTGTCAATGTCTTTACAATTAGTACTACACTTTGTACCGACGGAAACCTTTATGTGCAGGTTGTGAGCCACTCATTATGGCTAGCAAATCCAAAAATATTAAACTGCAAAACGCCAAAAACCCATTGAAGCTACACTAGAAAAGAAGATAGACACGAATAAAGAAGTACATTGTCCATTGAATATTGAAAGACAACTGAGATAGAATGTGGAATAGTTGTCAACACATTATGTCGACATTCTCGTCCATTAATGTTTTTTCCAAATCTTTTATATCATTTCTTGTGGTTGACTAGTACCTATTTCCCTTACTTCAATCTTCTTCTCCAAAGCGGCAACATGATTAGACACTATTCC